ACAGCCCTAACACAAAAATACCTCCTTCATGGAGATGAGACGCCGTTCTGTGTCGGATGCGACACAGATTTTACCATTAGACACATTTTAACCGAATGTCTAGACTTCGGAGAGACCCGAAGGAAATACTTTAAATGCACAAAATTGCAAGATATTTTTCCGTCGTTGTTCCCAAAAGAATTTTAGATTTTTTGAAAGCCATAGGCCTTTATGGGAAGTTATAAAATAGATAGTTTGAAATTTTTAAGTGTTTTTTAGAAAGTTGTTTTAAATTTAAAATCTATTTACACTCGATTTTTAGGGTTTTAGCAATTTTAATTAGAAACACTGACAAGAATCAGGCCGAGCAGTGAGCTGTTGAGAAAAAACCAACTTGTTTCGCGCGCTCATATAACCTTATGCAGTTGCGAGCGCCTTAATACCCCATACTAAACTAAATCACTTATGGGTTCAGAATTAACGAAGCTTGACAGAGGACTTTCTGTACGGAAATGGAAACTTAATAAATCAAGGAGAAGCAGACAACATTGCTTTAGTGCAGCTTGAAGAATGTGTTTTACAAATGGGTGGGCAAAGTCTCGATTCATATGGACTTCCGATTGCACAAAGAGATGCTGCAGAGAGAGTAGAGCAAGACTACCGCAGAGAAATCACCTACGATGCAGAAGAACAAAGACAAAGAGCATCGAGAAACCATGCACTGTTAACATCAGATCAGGAGTATGTATTTGACACTTTCATGACAGCTGTCCGGAATAAAGCAAAGGGAATATTACATTTTTTTGACGCCCCAGGCGAGTGCGAGAAGACATTCCTTCTAGAAACCATATTGGCAACAATTCGATCTGAAGAAAGAATTGCAATTACAACAGTCAGCAGCGGATTAGCTGCAACACTCATTACAGGGGGTAGAACTGTACACAGTACCTTTAAAGTACCTTTAGATGTAGCTAGATGTGACACACCATTATTTTTTTATCAAGAAGCGGACATCCTTAGAAAGGCTCACCAATGACTGCAGTGCCATAGTATTTGACGAAGCACCTATGCTGAACAAGGCCGTCCTTTAAGCTCTGGACAGGACATTTCAAGATATTAACTCCACAAAAGATAGAATGGGTGGCATTCCGGTTCTCTTAGATGGATATTTTCGACAGATTATGCCAGTAGTGAGATCTGGCACGAGAGCCGACAGTGTCAATGCATGCATCAAAAAGTCCTATTTGTGGCCAGATGTGAAAACACTGAACCTCACAGCAAACATGCGTGTTCACATGGTGACTTTGAAGAAGCCTCATTCTCTAAATTATTATAGGAAATTGGAAAGGGAAGAACATCAGTAGTTATTAAACCAGACATAATCAGCGTTCTCGAACTTGGTAAAGTTTCTACTTCTATTGCTGACCTGATTAACCAAGTTTTCCCGATTACGTAGACAATTTGGAAAATTTGCAATGGCTGTCAGAAATGGCCATACTAGCTCCTTTAAATGAAACAGTCTCAAAATTAACAACAAACTCATTGACATGATGTCGTCTACACCCAAAGTCTATCAGTCCATAAATACTGCACTCAACGAGGACGATGCAACCCACTCTCTTGTGGAATTCCTGAACTCCATTAAACTGGCTGACCTTCCACCCCATGTCCTGAAATTAAAGACTGGTATGCCCGTAATGGTCCTCCGCTCTCTTAACCCAGCAAAATTAATTAATGGTACAAGATGTGTTGTAACACAAACCATGCCAAACGTCGTCGAGGTTGAAATTTTTTTTCTGGACCATACAAGAATGAAAAACACTGGATTTCTCGAATTATACTCCAACCAACAGACAGTGGACTACCTTTTCTATTCCAACGAAAACAATTTCCCCTCAGACCTTGTTTTGCCATTACAATTAATGAAGTTCAGGGACAGTCTCTTCGTTCAGTTGGCCTAGATCTCACATGCACAGTATTTTCACACGGAATGCTGTATGTAGCCATGTCCCGAACTGGAGATAAAGATACTGTTCACATCTTGGCACCCAACAGTCAAACCAGGAGGTTTTGGACGACATACAGCAGTCTTAAGTGAGTTTCACTTTTGAAAATTCTTTTTTTTTTCAGGTATAGAATAGAACCATCCTGTTTTAATAATCAAATAACTATTTAAATTACTTCAGTATTGACATTTTTATTTACATCGCAACATTAATTTTTGGTTTGGAAAACATTATTTTTTCGTTCATAGAACGGGTACGCAGGCGAGAATAATATAAAACGTGATAGGGATGATAAAAAGGGAGAGAATGCAAAGCACCATTTACGGGTGAAAGAGGAAATTATGAGTGTTTGCCCTTTAATTCTCAAGGCAGTTGCTGCTGTGAAATGGTAAGGGTCTTGTTAATTTTACTGTTCTACCGTTTGAAAACTATAAAAGGAAAGGGGCTCGCTTTTATTGTTTGAACGTAAAGAATGAAATAGTGATAATTTGCTATCGAATTGTGATAGCAAACCCAGACCACATATTATGCGTCTTCCAAGTTAAGCCCGACAGGGTTATGACAAGGTTTTGTACAATTAGCCCCGTTTATGCCAATGACAATGACTTTGGCAGTCCAAATTCATTTCAAAGGGCGAAATTTACTTTGTTTGTTTACAAATGCAGCAATGTTTTTGCATTCATGTGCACTTACGCATACCCAGAGAAAGACAGAACATAACAAATTATTTTACATGCTGAAATGATACTATCTCCCCGGCATAAACAACCTTTCTCTCTCTATTTCACTCTCTTTCTCTCTCTTTCTCTCTCTTTCCCCCTTTCTCGCTCTCTGTCCTCCCCCCTCTCTCTCTCCCTTTCTCCCTCTCTCTCTCTCTCTCTCTCTCTCTCTCTCTCTCTCTCTCTCTCTCTCTCTCTCTCTCTCTCTCTCTCTCTCTCTCTTTCTCTCCATATGTGTGTGTTTCATTTGCAGCACTATGTTACTGTTGTTGGTACGTATTTATTCCTATACTTGAATGTTCTTGCTTTCTCAGAAAACAGAAGTAAGTCGTTAACTGTGGGAAAATAATCATTAAAATCCCCATCTTAATGGGAGGCTATGTTCACGTAACATTGGTTCCCTATTTTTTTTAGAACTGCACCCATATTCAAACGTAATTTAGGTCTCTACCAAAGAATACGTTTTTTCTGCTTTTCTAATCAAATGTATTTTACAATGTGCTGCTTTCCCCAATTTACTACTGTAGCAAGATATACCAACATTTATCAAACTGAGTAACGTGGAGGCATTGATTATTTGGAGGATGTGTGTTTTCACATTAAAAGACCTATGCTTCCTTAAAAAGTGCAGCCTGTGGTCTACCTTTTCAACAATATTATTAACTTGATTTTGCCGTGTCAATTTGTTACTGATTGTGAGACCACGACATAAATACGAATCCGTGATTTCAATTGTTATTTGTTCAAGAACAAGGATTTTTCTCTTCTAGAATTAAACATTATTTCCTTTAATTTTGGGAATGTGAAATGTTCCATTAACAAAACAAAACCCAGATATTTCTTTGAGACTCTCTTTTCAATCGTGGCATATTAGTCAAATTATGGCTGGGTCATTTGCGACTTTCATTATGTGTGTTATTTCACTTTCCTTCTTAAGTCGCTGGTATACATCGTATACAAAACTGGTGACAAACTCATCCCTGGAGACCGAAAGTGTTACTAAGGATGATTCAGATGTTGTGCGTTTCTGCTGTAGGTATTGTTGTGGTCTGCCCTTCAGAAATTCAACACCTATGCTGCAATATAACAACTGACTCTTAGTCTCAAAAGTTTTCAATGACAAAATGAGATTGATTATATCAAACGCCGAGGAAAAATCAACAGACTACTCTCGTATACAATTTAGGTGTTTCAAGGTATTTCGGTATTGGACTGTAAAAACATGCACAACATCTTCTTCGCCCCATTTTTATTGTATTCAAATTGGAATGGATCTATATAGCTTCCCAAGAACACAGCTCACCGTATTTCAGAAAACAAGTTCTAAAAGCTGTAAGTCTATTTCTCACTGTCTGTTTACTTTTCTCTTATAATGCAACAAAATATCCTGATTCATAGTTGTTTTTACTGTTTTTCCTCCTTGCCCGCTATTTGCCTACTGGGGTGATTCTTGCTGATATGGCAACACGCTTAGTTCAGTTGGTATCGTGGTGGACTACACGGCTTAATACATTGGGCGTAATACATTGGCAAGAATCCTCAGTTGGGCGTTCAAATTGAACTTTGAGTTGTTTGAAGGGTTTTCACCACTTTTCAACTACTTTCCCCGACCCCACCGGAGATGTACCTTAAGTCCAGGGCCATGCAAATTGAATGCCCTTACAGTGTTGGAAAGGGTGTTTAATCCACCGCATACAATACAATAATCAATAAAGTACCAGACAGTGTCTAAATGAATGAATGGCGCATCACATGAGTGGATAATATGTTGTGCATTGTTGATTTTGACTGTGGTATACGAAGAGATCGTGCTGTCACGGCCATAAATTTTGGTAAGGTTCAATTTGAGTATTTGCAAAACTTGAAGGAGCAGACCACAACACTGCGTTTATCAAGTGGCGAAGAGGTTCTATCTATCTATTTATCTATCTATCTATCTATCTATCTATCTATCTATATATCTATCTATCTATCTATCTATCTATCTATCTATCTATCTATCTATCTATCTATCCATCTATTTATCTATCCATCTATCTATCCATTTGTCTATCTGTCTATCTATCTACCAAGTTTGTTTGTTTTATGTTAGTTGTTTTTTTACGGTGGAATCCTATGCAGGACACAGTAGATTATAAACGGGGGGCGATAAAGCTCCAAATATTTGTTGAAAAGGTCAGGTATTTCAGCTGGCTGGACATAACGAGCTGCAACAATCCAATCCTGACGAGAAAATCGCTTTCACTGCTGGCCCGTACAAATTGTCACAAAATTGGCTTAATGCTCTCTCTATTTAAGGATGGTTGGTTGAAGGCAGGGTGAGATGATTATACTAGTGTGCTGTTTTGTTAGAGGAAGGCGGAGATAGAAATATATACACAGGCAGTAAATCTCGGAGTTCTTAAAATTGGTAACGTACGCATAGTTTTAAATTTGTCATATTATTATATGGCTTATCTTATTTTTAAAGTATTTTTGGGGTCTTTAGTGCCATTAATCAGAGATTTCACTTTGTTTTAAAACAAAGTGAAACTTAATTTATACCAAACCATTTTATACATTTGTTTTAATTAGATAATCTACCCTCTAATTCACATAAAATGTTAGCCTGACGACTATGGGTTCCATTGTCTTAAAAAGCCACACTTTAAGAGAAACTGTTTGGGTGATTTGTACTTGGGTGACCTACACAACAGTCTAAAGTGGTTCTATCTGGCGTAAGGTCACGGTGGGATATTTACTTTTTTTATGCACAAGAGCACAATCGACCACAAACTTGACTGGCATCCCCACGCTGCTCTTGAGCATAAAAAAGTAAATCAAAGAATGTTTCTTTTATGGAAATTAAAGAAGTTTCCGTGTTGACAATAAAATTTTGTCCCTTTTTTACCATTCTATGATTGAAAGTGTGCTATTATTTTGTATTTGCTGCTGGGGTGGGATTTGTAAGGTGAAAGATAAAGAAAAATCTGACAGAACCATTAAGAAAGCCAGCAAGATCTCTGAATATGATGTTATAAGAATGGATGAAATGTATAACACCACACGTATAAAAAAAGATAAAAAGCATTATAAACGACCTATCATACCCCTTTTCCACACAAATTGTAAGATCATGCAGCGGCAGATACCTACTTCCAAAAACAAAGAAAGAAAGATATAAGAGAAGTTTTTTACCTTCTAGCTTAAGGCTTTTGTCAGAATGAGCATAGATGGGCGTTACTCTTAGAGTATGTATCTGTATATAACTCCAAAGGTCTAGTATTTAAATTCCTGCATGTGGTTGAATGATGCTTTTGATGTGAATGTACATTTTGTCAGCTTCACTTCTACTTTCATATTGAATTTTAATGAGAGTAATATATATGATTAAATTTTTTTTATGTATACCTGCGTGTGTTTTTACGGTCCTGTACAGCTAAGGAAAATTTCCCTCTGGGATAATAAAGTACTATCTTATCTTATCTTATCTTATCTTAAATGAACTACACAATGTCTTTCCGGTCGGGTTTGTGTTGAGATGAATTTAAAGTTTGAGTAAAGAGATGTGCATCGACAGAATAGCGGTCAACTAGTGTAGAGGAAGAGTAAGGCAAAAAGACAGAAACAACAACACACACACAGAGAGAGAGAGAGAGAGAGAGAGAGAGAGAGAGAGAGAGAGAGAGAGAGAAAGAGAGAGAGAGAGAGGGGGGGCAGGGAGGGAGAGAGAGAGGGGATCCACCAAAGTCGCTCTTTAAACACCCGTGAGAGACGAATGTATGTCGTGGGTATAAGGTAAGTGTATAGAGAAAGAAAAACAATCCATTACAATCTTTCAAAATGACATGACCTCTAATTATAACCATCTTCTCACACCCACAAACGTGAACTTGCAGTCTGAGGGCCATGGCTTCCACCTCTTCCTGGATAACGGTTGTGCCCAGCCTTCTCTTGCTCTTGATCTCTTGGGAGCGTGTCCACGGGGAGGAGACCACTAGACCTGTGTCCAGACAACGTGTAGGGGAGTACAGCTTCGGAAAGTGTGTCGTGCAGGTAGGGTATGAGTCCCTGTTTCGGTGAACTGGGTTTTATGATAGATCTAATGGTCGTGGTGGAGGTGATGATGATGATGATGATGATGATGATGATGATGATGATGATGATGATGATGATGATGATGATGATGATGATGATGGTGATGATGATAATGATGATTGTCATCATCAATTTTGCCTCTGCAACCACTAGGACCACCACCACCACATATATAATAATAATCATTCTTATTGTACAATAGAAAAAACAACTCGAGCCGTAAATATACTTTAGCATTGAAAACAGTATTAAAAAATCATTCTCATCATTGTCATCATCATCATCACCATCATCATCATCAACCCCTACCCCACCCCCTGAACCCTGAACCACCACCACCATCAACAACAACACCATTAATTAGACCATCAATTTATTCATGACCTCTATCTAATCACTAAGGGCCTGTATCCACAAGACCTTGACTCCTTCAATTCTGTCGAGATGACGCGGGAACACGCCCTTGGCTCCCGCTGGACTGAGCGTTGTCGGACGTGCAAGTGCGACAGCTTTGGGGCGTGGTGTCAAGGCCCTACGTGCCCAGTGCCCTACGACTTTTCTCAAGAGAAATGGTGTCTACAGGTTGTTGAATAAGATAAATATTATTGATCTTCGAGGGTATGACTGGGGGGGGGACCTTTCATTATATTATTCGTTTCATTCCCCCGCCCCCCAACACACATTAACAAAACTACGTGGAGTCAAGACAAGACTGTTTGTATTGTGTGCTTCTCGGGAAATTGAGAACGTTTCCGGATGTCCAAGTTCTACTGGGAGTATTAATAGTAATAACCAAGGGTAATAATAAGTGACAGAGAGCATAGATATCCGTTATACGTGCAATTATTGTTATAATAGTATTATTACTTTCGTCTTTTCGTTCTAACTCTGAAAATAAAAAGCACATGCAATTATTCGGATGCACACATGTGATAAATCCTGTGACGTATCACCTTTGTCCTCTACCCCCCCCCCCTTTCCCCTTTCTTTTGTTCCGATAACTGGGTCGAGTGCACAGACTTTAGATGGTTTATTTGAATTTTGTCGAACCTTGTATATTATTCTTAATTAAGAAAAACCCAAACGTACTTTCATATCAAAAAGATAATATAAAGGTTCTGAATACTTTCCCAGTGGTCCGAAGACGGCTGTTGTTGTGAACAGCTCGGCTGCTCTGTGGATGACGAAGAATATCCTCTACATCAGGAGTTTCCGTACGGAGACGGGAACCCTTGCCTGACATGCAACTGTATGATCGGCCAATCAAAAGACCACTGTCTACGTCAAAAGTGTGGCACATCTGACATCATCTGCGAGGACAGAAGTGTGACGTATGACGATGATTGCTGTCCATTTTTCACCTGTCCCCATGGAGGTAATTACATCAGACCATCGCCATAGCTCTGCACATGCTCCCTTTAATCAGAACAAAAGTTTCCTGAACAATATTTGTCAATGGTGCTTAGGCCTAGCTCTTTTGGCTAACCACACACCACTTGATGGGCAAACTGAGTAGACTGAGCAGCTCAGGTTGTTTTTTTTTTTGGATTGGTTCGGTTTGGAGGTTTTGTTTGTTTGCTTGTTTTTTGGTTGGGGTGGGTTTGTTTGTTGTTGTTGAATTGTTGTTGTGTTTTGTCTTTTTTTGGTCTTTTTTTTGGGGGGAGGGGGGGAGGGGGGGCATTGGATTGATGTTTTAAGGAGCTCTCGACGCAGTTTAGCAGCTCGAGTGTCATCATAGGAGACCACGTGGTTATTGTAAAATATAATTTTCTTTTCAAACCTTGCTTTCATCCCGATTTTCAAAAGGATGTTTCTGAAATATGGCTTTATTGGGAGCTTCCAAAGCGCTCTGTCCATGTGTCGAAGTTCTCTGAAAGACAAACTACATTCATACTCCCCCCACCCCCAACTCCACCTCTAAATTAAGCCTACACTGTTTATAGAGACGTTAAATTCATAACATTGCAGTACCCATAAGTTCACCTCAATCCTTTCCTGCTCTTACCCTTCCCATAATCCTTTCTATAATCCTTCCCTTAACTCTAACCCTGACCCTATCACCCGAATCTAGCAGATGTGAACAAAACGTGCAGGTATGAAAGATCAGTCCCTTTTTCTAAATTCCCTACTCAAACTATGAATTTCGTTCAGGTCAGTACTTGTATTCTACCTCAGACTCCACGTCGAATCCCTACTGTACACGAGTTATCCAGACACAACAGTTCAGACGATTAGAAAGTTTTGGATGTTTTCTTAGACAAATGTAAGGGGACTTTCGTGGCCTAGGGGTTAAGGTGTGCGCCTTTCATTCAATAGGTCCCGGGTTCGAATCCGGATAGCGACCGAAACATTTTCTCATTTCGCATCCTTTCCTGCTCTCTAACAATGTTCTGTCGTCTGCTTTCATCTCCACTTTCTGCCCTCACCCCCTCACCTTCTTAGTCCCCTCTTCTGGGTTCCTGACTCCTTCTTCAGCCTTTCTACTGTTACTTATTGGCTCCTCCTTACTGCTGTCTTTCAGCCACACCCCTGATCTTATGGTAGATAAGATCTACACCTAGCCTTCTTGGACAAGGGCGAAAAATCCCGGAAGTCTCGAGTGCAAGTTGCACACGTTAAAGATCCCTTGATGGTCCAAAATTGATTAGAATAGGCTTCGGCCGCCACCCAGGCAAAATTCAAAATTTCCTACTAACTGAAAAGTTTGTAGTGTCCCGCGCGCTCGTAATATGACCTAATGCAGTTGCGAGCGCCATAAAACACTTACCAAAAAAATAACGTTACAAAATATATTATTATTATACAGTCTGGCACGCACATAGCAAATGCGGTGAGACGTAAAAATATATTCATTATGTACGAATCTCACTGTTCCATCCTCCTCCTCCTCCTCCTCCTCATCATCATCCTCATCACCATCACCATCATAATCATCATCATTATCAATGCCTTTCGCAGCCTTCTTCAGGATA